GATCCTCGATTACCCATTGCATTTATCATCAGACTTCCCAACAACTTTCCAGGATGCTTTGTGGAGTGGAATGAGGTGAATCAAAGTGCTGTTAAAATCATCTCCTCAAATGACCTCAGCAGAGGTGTTCCAGCACAATTGGTTTCTGAATGGTGCTGCTCAATCCAAATTTATGCTTCACTTTTCAATGCGAAATACCATATAAACTAGGGCAATGTGCTGCAAATGTGCAGTGTAAACCCAGCAAAAGAGAGGCAGACGTAATCTTGTCAAGCGGTGATTAAATTAACATTAAAATAGATGGGAGAGACAATGAAACATACATGAAAATGGAGGGATCAGTTCAAACATAGAAGGAGACAGTCTTGTAGTTGCTAAAATTCTTTCTGCTATAATAGTGGGAAGATCAAATGGTGAGAATTAAATCAGTCTCGATGCAAAAATACAGCACATTCTTGATTTTCACAACATACCTATGGTATAGATGAAGGATTAAATCAGTAAACTTCATAAATGTTAGGATTATTTACATCTCATGTACCTATATTAATGGGGTTATCTGTTCATTAAAATAATCATGGGATTATCTGTTCATTATAATAAGTAGGAACCCGGTTGTTAGTCGATTGGCGGATCACTTTTCCAGGGGTAAAAATCCCTTCGAAATAAATAAATTTTAAAAGATAATAATTTGGTCACTCAATCCACGACTGTTTGTGGGAAACTATTGTGCACAATTGGTTGCCACATTTTCCCACAAAACATAGTCCATTCACTTTGCGGTATATTCTATGAAGAGTTTTGAATAACGATCAAAGGGAAACTGCTTTTGTGAAAAATTACTGACACAGTTTCTCCTATTTATTTAAATGTACCTTTGAGAGATACTATGTTGAAACATATTGCTGCACCTTAAAAGAGCATGATTAATGTGAATCACAGCTTATCAGCTCTTTTCCAACAAAATTGGAAATATGACAACAATTTTTTTAAATAAAGACAGGATCACTTTAAGCTGACTCTGAGTGAAGAGTGAAATAGCAACTCTCTTTAGATTGCCTGATGGGTGTAGACATGTTGTAAAGTGGTACTAAATCTGTACAGTCTAAAAAGATTGCAGGTTTGAATGTGGTTTTGCAGGTCTGTGGTAAACAGATTCCAGCCCAGTCGAACAATGTTAGATCTTGAATTACCTCAGCAGTTCCAAGTTAAGGAGAACAAATTCAACTAGAATTCCTTCTTTTAACTGCCGTCTAGAGACGCATGGAAGAGGGAGTACGGGTGAGGACAGGATGGTGCTTGGCTGCCATGGTCAATGTCAAGGTTCGCACACCAAATTTTGGCCATTTGGATGAGGTACTTGTGCAACCATATCCTGATAGAAAGAAAAAAGAGTTCAAATACAGCGTTAGAGGAGGGAAGAAAAACAGAAAAGAGAATTGAAAAAGCAAAATGAAAGTGGGGATTCTGTCAAGTGGTAATATGCAATGGAACCATGTGATAGCACATTAGTTTAGATTCATAAAATTCTAACCAGTTCTATAATGTGGGGCTGGTCAGTCCTTCCTCTTTCACTACATACACGCCTAATAATCCCTCCAAAAAACCAAAAACAATAATAAAGATTGGTCATTTTCAATCTACGACTGTTTGTGGGACATTGCTGTCCGCAATTGGCTGCCGCGTTTGCCCACAAATATACAGTCAACTCACTTTACAGTGTGTTCTGTGAAGCGCTTTGGGATGTCCTCCCGACGTGAAAAGCGCTATATCAAATGCAAGGATTATTATTATTATTACATGCACCCACTCCGCTAGCACTTCAGAATGCTGTCCCAGCGCAGGGGCAAGTGGCTGACTTTCAGGTCATCAGGTCTCTGCCAATAGTTTGCTTCCTATGCACCAGAAGTGATTGTACCAGTGACATTTTGGCCTCCTGTGTGACAGCTGCCATTTTGAAGTGCAGGTGGAGCCTATTTTCACATTTTGGATATTTTAAGTGAGTAAATATTGGGATCCATTTGTCAACACACCTCTTTGTTTTGCCCACAAAATATTCAGTCCCACAAAATATACACTTTGCAGTATATTCTGTGAAGGCTCTTTGGGATGTCTCAATAAAGTGATGAGGCGCTGCATCAAATACAAGGATTATTATATATTATTATTATAATAAATGAACCCACATTATAGTGACGCACCTTATGAATTTCTACTATATTTGATTTGGATAATAAGCATGTTTTGCTGCACATAAATTGATTCTGGGCAGCCACTGTATAAAATTTCCCACCAAAGATATTTCTGTATGTGTGAGATAACAAAGCGCATATTTAGCTAAGCGAAGCAGCTGGTTTTAAGAGAACTCAGTAACTTTCCCCAAGTTCTAGAGACTTGTGGTTTGAGTTTGTGAGAGGTCTTAATGTTAGTGTAGAATTTATTTGAATTAATCATGCATGTGCCTTGCATTACAAATCAATAACATCGAGTGGTGTGCAGGCTTGCAGCATGTTGGTTCTGGTGCATTAGCTCTTGAAACTGCAGCCCTTGAGGGAGTTTCATGTTCAGCTGCTGCCATTTTAAAGACCCATCTGTTTTGGTCATGGAATGCACTTCATACATTTCTTCAGATCCTCTGAGGTAGTCTTAAGCACTGCGGTTGCACCAGACTGTCGGAGATCTTCTGTATGAATGATTACGTTTGCATGTTTCATACCACATAAACCATTTGCAAGATGGAGTTTAATTACCCCTCTCCGATGTTTAATACTTAGCATGTACCCAACTTTTTAATGAGCCTATGATGTTTTTGTGTGAGAGAAAATTTATTATAGCTGCCTTGTTTTGTGTTTGTATATTTTTGTGTTCATGTATTTTTGTAAAGAAATATGCACTGTATCATGGAAGTTTATTTTTGTAACTGTTGTGTAGTATGAAATTACACTGACAAAGTAGCACCACTAAGGTGTTTTTCTGATTTGCTTTCTGCACACTCTCTCGCATGTGTATCAATCCTTTCCCCCACCACTCCCGCTTTCTCTCTGTGGTACTATCCTGTTGCTCCCACTCAGTTTTGTTGTAGCAATGTGTGCTATGGGGGCAGAGTATCCTACCATAATATGTACTGATAAAGGGAATCTTCTTGATCCAGAGAGTAATTAACAAATGGAATGGGTTACCAGGAAAGGTGGTTGGGGGCAGAACACTGGACTCATTTACAAAACAATAGGAAGATGATAAAGTAGGTATTCTGGAAGGATGAGATCAAATAGGCCAAAGCACCTTCTTTGTCTGCACCTGTTTTGTGCATGTTTAAAATAACAGCAACAAAAAGAAGAGTGAATTACAAATAAAAGTTGGAGGGTGAGATAAAGGTGGGAGAGTTTCATGGGATTGAGTGGAGGAGTACTTCAAACATAGAGAGAATCATAGAAGGGTCCTGCAGCTCAGCGGTAAAAGAACTCGCCTCGCAAGCGAGAGACCTGGGTTCGATTCCCGACAGGGTGAAACCTTGGGCAAGTTTTCTTACTCCACACGCCTGATAATAATCCCTCAAGGAAATAAATAAAATAACAATTTGGTCACTAAATCCACGACTGTTTGTGGGACACTGCTGTGCACAATTGGCTACCGCGTTTCGCCCACAAATGTACAGTCAATTCACTTTACAGTATATTCTGTGAAACGCTTTGAGATGTCTAGAAGACGTGATAAGGCGCTGTATCAAATGCAAGGAATATAATCATGAGTGTCTCCACTATACTTTATTGTACTTCATATATGAATAATTGTCTGTGTGAGAGAAATAGGCAGAGGGCAGAGCAATACAACAAAATACAATTTGGACCAATTATGGCCAACTGCTTTTTCTGGTAAAAGTTCATTGTATCCAATTTAGTAGACTAATAGGATGAACATATTAGAAATAACATAATAAATCTAATTTCTATCAAGACAAAGTACAGCGTGTTTTACATTAGGATCAGAAAAAAGACTTGACTAGAGATTACAATCTGCATCAAACATTATTTGCTAAAGTATATTGTTGTTACAAATGCAACACAACGGGTTAAGTTTACTGTGCAAATAGAATATATTAGTGTCCAGTACTTGTATTAATGCTGTAGACTTTGTGGGGGTGGGGGGTGGGGGCTGGAGTTTGTCCATACAGCAAGTTTCAAAACTCAGCCATACTGTCAGAGCAAACCTCCAAGTGGAGGCAAGGCACTTCCTCATATGGAAAAATAATACATTGGAGGTGGGTCTACCTGATTCAGTCTGATGCATCTCTGAAGAATCACACAACCAGGTGAATTGTTTAGACAATGAATATCTTTCAACCCATTTGATCTCAATCTGTTCTTACATCTTATATGTAGTGTGTTATTAGCCACAATGATAGTTGGTATTTGAAAGCAAAAAGCCACACTCGTTCATTTGGTAGTTTCTTTGATATTGACATTCATACAATAGTCTTTACAGGTACAGCTGGCTGTGGGATGTCTGATTTAAGAATGCTTGTCGCTAAGATCAGATGCCTGAAATGAGAAAATGTTCCACTCACCACTATTAATGTTTCTCAGCTTGATGCACCCAGACATTAACATTTTTTAAACAGATAGTGGATGTGTCAAAGACGTGAAGATGGTTGTAAAAGTGGCTTTTAGATATGGAGAGTTGCTAATTTTAAAATTATTCTATTTGGATATTGAGTAAGTGGGAGATACATTTAGGATCATACCAATTTGAATTATTATATGGTAAAAAATGTCTATGTTGATCATTTACTATTATTTCATGTTTTTGTTATCTTAAGAAGCATCCTCCCCAGTTTGACTTTCTACAGAAATAATAAAAAGCTCTCTGGTTAAACTTGCTATTTGTAGATTGAATGCTGGAACTTGGAGTCTCATGACCTAAGGACAGATAATTACTTTGGTTTCCAAGTATGAGAATTAAAAGACTGATGCTGACATTGTTTGTTAATGTTCTTGTTACAGATACAACTTCTTCATTCTCTTGTACCCAATCGGTGTAGTTGGTGAACTCCTTACAATTTATGGTGCCCTGCCTTTTGTAAAGAAATCTGGCATGTATTCATTGAGACTTCCTAACAAGTACAATGTCTCATTTGATTACTATACGTGCCTCATAATTGCTATGATAGCATATATACCACGTAAGTTTTTTTAAAAAAATCTTTTGTTGGATTACAATAGTAACTTCAAACATGTTGAGAGGTTGTGTATACACATTGTATTGGAACATTTTGGATACATCAGTCCATTTTGTTTTATGGGCTATTTACATTCTGTGCAATAATATACTAAAATGTGCCCTGGTTATTTGATCTTGCATTTTTATATATTGAAGAGTTGTGTGAGCACTGCGTTTAAGCACTTGGATATGCAATTTGATGTTGTCTTCCCAGTGTGAAAGGTGCTATACAATTGTAAATTATATTGTATTGTGTGTGTCTGAAATTATTTTTTGTTTGTTTGAAAATATTAACTTTTTGATAACATTGAGTTGATTCTACATCGTTAAGAAAATATGGTGCTGGTAAGAAATGTATAACAACTTACATTAATATAAAATAGCTTTGTCTTGGATTGGAGCAGATTATTGGATTAGTAACTGTATCTGTCAATATCAAAGCATACAGCTCGTCTTGTTGTCTCAGTTTATTGAAATGTCATTAACTCAGTTTCAATCTTTGTCACGAGCCGGTTGGAATCTAGGATAATTCACGGATGTTGATCAAATAAAAAGTAGACACAGGGCTTACAAAAGTAAAAAAAAGTTTTTACCATTTAGTTCAGACTAAACAATATTACTAGTCTGAGTCATATTCATCTTGAAACCCAGTACATGTAGTCCCCTAATATAGCGGCACTAAGAGTAGTGGAAAGCTGAAAACAGAGGAAAGAGGTAGTCTTGTATGGTTCTTTCATGCACTTGTGTTTGGAGACTAGATGGTTTACAATAAGAACAGGTGGGGCAAAGAAAGATGGTATCGCTGGGACAGTTACCCATAAAATTAATTTTCTAAGTGACTATTGAACTCTTTCCATAGTAAAAACATTCTCGCTGTTGTTTTATTGTACATTTAAGGCATTCTTAGTGACTGATGATAATTTGTTTATTACACAAAATCACAGGTATTCAACATATAGTTAAAAATTCAAGTGATCCATCCTTACCAGATGTGTATTAAAGAAGGCAAAGAGTGAAACTTTTCTTTTGAATGTGCAAAGTATTATTCAGAACTATAGACAATGAAATGGTTTGGATGCCGAATGCCCTACCAGATGGTAGAGACAGAGCCCACTGTAGATTTCAAGGGAGAAGTAGACATGCATATAAAGGATAGAGGCTTGAAGAGGTATGGAAGATAGAGTGGGGAAGTGCAGAACACTGGGGCAGAACAACTAACTCAGATCTGATGACACGATAGACCTACTTCTGAGCCATAAATGATTATGATTTGTGATTCATGATTTGGTATAATTTCTGTTGAAACTATACTTTAAACTACAAAACAAAGCTTAAGAAGCTTAAGTTTAGTTTCCATTTAATTTAAATGGAACACCAAACAAACACATACATTTGTATTTTCAATTATAATGGGAGACAGGGTTGTAATCCAGACTTGGGAGAATTTAGCAAGGTAATTCAGTGCTATTAAACCAGTTATATTTAACTTTAACATTAACATTCGCTGAACATGTATTTTTTCTGCAGTTTAGCATATCTTCATTACACATTGTTCACTGGACTTTAACAGTTAGCAGATGGAGCACATTTTTAAGGAATTTAGGATGGGGAAAATTTGTCAAGTACAATGGATCAAGCACTGTTTAATGTGTCTACATAGCGCTGACATAAAAGCCAGAATGATGGGTTTACGTTACACGAATATTCACTTAGGGTCCCTGCAAATATATTGGGAGAAGTTCCACCTGAGTTTAGATTTATACTGTTACCAGCATTTTAGAGTGCTCAGAATCTAACAAATTGTTGAATTCAGCCTTAACTTTGATGCCGTTTTTCTGTAGCTAAAAGAACTTAGAGAAAACCTGCTTAATCATTAAAACTATGTCTAAGAATTTGCCAAAGTTTGGACTTTTTAAAATGCTACATAAATAGCATAGATCAAGACCCAGGTAGTATTTCACCCCACTAACAGGTTATATCACAAATTGGGGGAGGGCAGATTGCCCAACTGCAGACAGTCTAATCTTCCTGTACCATTAACCGGATAGTAATAGTTAATCAAATGAAAGTTTTAACTATCTATGTAATTTGTATCTGATAGAACTAATCATTTCTTTCTTTTTCTTTCCTCGTCAATGCATTTGAATTAAAAATCAAGTTTTTCCACAACTCTACTTCCACATGTTACGTCAAAGAAGAAAGGTGCTTCACGGAGAGGTGATGAAAGAAAAAGAGGATTAGACCAGCTGTGAAACAATGGTGCTTCTCAGGAGCATTAGATGCAAACCCCATTTACATCAATGCTGTATATTTAGATTTAATCAGATTTTACAGTTGATCTGAAACAAATGGTGTAAATCATGAACACTGATCAAATTGGAACTAAAATAAACTATCTTGCCATTCCTGACACTCCAAATTGCTCCTGGAATGGATTAAGACTCCAATGGATAATAGTTTTACGTTATCATGGCACATCTCTGACCCTGTTCATATCCTGCACTTGTTGGGGTTAAATTTAAAATCTTTAACACATTTACCTGGGATTATTTGTATCACAGTGAAAACAAAATAAAGACTCAAATTCAAAAGATTCAATTCAGATCAATGTAATCCAAATGGAATCTGAATTAAATGTGTAAACCGGGTTGAACTGAACAACCAAAATTTTCAGTGTGATCCATTGGAGTTACAAGAATCATGGAACCAAAATAAACAGCTATGTGCAAAACATAATGAAGTTATGTATGGATTATTTAGCAAATTTAAGTTATCCCACAATTTTGTATTTAGTGACTGATTTTAAATTAAAGATAGTTGAAGTTGACAACAGTCTGGCTTCCGAATCAGGTTCCATTGTTCATTTTATAACATACACAAAAATAACAGTTTCATCCCATTTACAGCAATATACAGAGTGTCTGACTCTGAGCTTAAGACTCTTTGTACAGTTAAGATGCAAGGATCAAAGGTGACTCATTTGCACTATTGAGAGTGCAATTTGCGGCATTTCACAATGCATTGGATGTAATTACTGTAAATAATGGCAGTATAAGTAAATCCCCAACTTCCATGCATTGAAAACGTTCTTTATGCGCTGTGGAAAATAAATCGCTATCTTGTATATTGACCCATGCATGACTTTATTTTTGCTTCCTGAGGCAGCTTTTCAGTGGTGTTTCAACTCAATTTTTTAAAGTTTTAGTTGCACGCAATCTGCACCATTATAGTAGAGAAATTCTCAAGCTGGTGTGTGGGGAGGGGGGATATCCAAAGATGGTGAGGTTTTTTTTCACAACGTACAAAGGATGCATCCAACAGGAAGAGGATGGGTGAAGATGTTTATTTTATGGCGATTCTTTATGAATTAACTGGAAAGTAAATGGCATTTCATAATGTGTTCAATGTGATAATTAATTAAAAGTCAGTCACCCCAGTGCTTAATGATAATTTGTGGCAGAGAGTTTCTGTGGGTGATATGACAAACAGATAGATGCTTGTAGGTGGTGTGAAGACATTTCTGGTGTCACTTTCGACATGTGGTGCTATGAGTTGGAATATCTGTTTTGTGTGGCGGTTTGCTTCATTCTGAATGAAAGATGGCGAATACTTCTTCCTCTCCCCCCCACCCCACCCCCCAACCACCCCATGTCACTTAACCTGGCATGTTACACTAAGTAATATTCATAAATTTTATCCCATTTCGAACTAAGTTTTTATCCTGATTTTATACTGAAGACTGAATTTGGCAGGGGTCCACATTACAAATTATCTTCTGGACTCAACTCAAATCAATTTTTTTAAATTGGGCTACTGACCCCAGATTAAACTATGCCAGGGGTATCATGCACAAGTTCATTGACTACATGAGTTATATCTTGACTGGGGAGGTTTCTGACACATGCGGAAACCCATTACTATGTTTAAGAGTATTAAACCACTGAACTTGCTGAGGCGGTTCTTGTCAAACTAGTGCCTTTATTAATGGACCTGTGAATGAACAGAACCCTACGGCTGTCGATTTTGGGCAAAGTTTAACTAAAACAAAATCCTACCAGTGCATGTGTAGAGCTCCCATCAACAAGCATCTGAAATGCAAATAATTATTAATTATTTGTGCTATTTGTGAAGAACTAGTGTGACTGCTGACTCCTTTGTACATTACAAATCGTAAAAGCAATCCAGCAGATCAACTCAGCTTCTTAAGCTTTAAATGTTAAATTAAGCTACGCCCAGTGAAAAGCTGAAGCAGTACAAGTATGTCTCCTCAACATGATCACACACCTCTAAATCTGATTTGATCAAACTAGAGTTCATATTGACCCAATGCAAGAATTGCATCAAAGTGGTGGAAATTCTGCAGTGTATGTGGATCAGAAACACTCATTCAATCCACCTATTGAATTATGGGCTCAAAACACATTCAGAGTACTGTATTTTTATTTTCCTCCTGTCTTTACATGGTAGGATTGTGTTTGTACTGGCTGAGTGAGTGCAGTTCTATAAATAAAACCAGTTTACGCAGTTTCATGAGATCGGGTGAACGAGGAAAGTTGCACCTTTTGAAGTGGCAGCTCGGCTACAAATAGAGTATTGCAAAGTACAGCTTGTTTTATCTTTACAGTTAAGTTGAATAGTCATAAAATAAGAGGCCTATGTGATCAAACATAGTCTATTCTTCTATTCAGTGTTTCAATTCAAAAATACAATACACAAATAAATAACATCTTTATTGATGGACTTTTGGCTCAACACGGTGAAATTCCCAAATGTGTATATAACATTTAACAAATTCCAACATGCATCTTGGTTCATAGTGTCTTTTGTCTTTGCTTTATTTCCCAGGATGGTTCTTGTGTGCAGTTTCTTTGAATGTTTGGATATATCTTGGTCCTGGTTTGTACATCTTGCTTGAAATGTCTCTTTGCAGAGACTATCACTAATGGTGCAAATATACCTTAAATTACTGTTTACAGTTTATTTATGTTAATAAGAGATTTTCTTATTTGCATATGGGTGCTATTTACGTTGCTGACCTCTTTTTTTTAAAAAAACATATTTTTAATGCAGATGAACATCTTGAGGATCGCTCATAAAATTGTGCAATACGAGCCAAATAGAGTTAACCTGTAGTTTCTCTAACCATTTAAAATAGCAAAAGCAGAGATTCAAAGAGCTCAACCATAAAGGATCAGTAAACAGTTAAGTTTTGACTTGCCTTCAATTAAAAGGAATGCACTCCACGGTAGATGCTTTGATTTTTTTCAATTAAGCAATTTTCTTAAAATTTAATGTAAGACACAGATCGAATGTTTTAAGCACATGTATCACAGAAACAGCTCTTTGAAGAAGGAAATCAAACCCAAAATGTTAAGTTGTCTTCATGAAATGCTTAGAACTATATCACCTGGGCCCCTTATACGGTAATAGAACAATAATGACAATTTGAATTTATATAGAGCCCTTCTCAGAGGGCTTAATAGTGGCAGAGCCTGACGCCAAGGCAGGGGGAGGGGGAAGTGATTGTAAGCACGGTCAAAGAGGAAGGTCTTCAGGCGTGATCTAAAAATGTGGAAAGGGGGGGCAAGGCGGAAGGATAGTAAGTGCAACCTTGCATGCACTAGTCAGTGTATTTCATAAATGTTACCAAAGCAATTTTACACCTTGTAAGTTCCGTTTTTAATTAGTGCTTTTATTGAAAAAGTGACAAGATGGAGTTGTTGCATTTTCACAAAACATTTGATCAATATTAATATTTGTTAATTTATTAACTCATTTATTTATATCACGATATATTTTATTTGGTTTTAAAACATTTTTAAACAAATTGAAAAACAGAACAGTAGAATATTTTCAAACATTTATTGAGTACATTTCAGTGAAATTGATCCATTTTAGTTCTAAAATAATGTGAAAGGGGTGTTAGAACTGCGAATGGTTATACAATTCTGTTTACTATAGTTACTGCTATCATTGGTCCGATTTAAGCTTTTTAGGTGAACTTGGCAGCTCTTTTAAGAAAGCCCAACAATTAGCATTTTCAACACTGAAATGTACAACTTAGTATGAAAATCCTGTAAGATTTTATTTGTAAGACAATTATCAGCATGACTTGAAGCTTGTGACTGGTATACAGGTATCTGTGGACAGTAATATTGATGCTGTCTATTCTTTATTAATACAGGGATTAATCTGACCTTATTTTAGCAGAAAATTTTTGTTCCCTATTTAGCATTGGTGAGACTATTTGAACAGGAAAATGAAAACGCTACACATCATTATATAAATATAAATCTGAAGACAAATTATGCTTTCTGGAAGGTGTAAATATGTTTTTAAAATGAAGTCCTCATTTTCACCAATAAAAACAGACTGCATATTTATTTTGGATCAATATAAAATAGATGGGATGAAAATTTATTTCTCCCATTCTAAGTCAATTGTGGAGAAATCCACCCAGGATTTCACCAAGTTAACGCCTTTGTTAAAAATATAATTTTATACCCTGGAAGTTAGAACTGAATGGTTATGCAATTCTGTTGCTATTAAATGATGCTATTAAAATTAGGCAATGTGGATAGCCGGTAGTTTCATTGAAGTGTCTCATTGCTGTTATTAAAACACATTCATTCTTGGCATATCAAGATTTTGGTGCTTGGCACATGAAGATAAAAGCTCTGTAAACCTTTTACTAGCAGATTCAGCAATGGGAGTATAAAAGAAACATCTGTGGGTTTTTGAAATATCATTGTGACCTTTTTAAGGATTCAAAAGATTGGAGAAGAAAACATTTGTACAAAAACAACAACTTGCACTTACATAACAGCCTCCACTCAGGGTAGCATCTCAGAGTGCTTAACAGTGGCGCAGCCTGACTCCGAGCCAGGAAGGAGGTGGGTGGTGGCCAAAAGCACAGTTGAAGAGGAAAGTTTTCAGGCGAGACTTGAAAGAAAGGAGAGAGGGGCAAGGCAGAGGGATTGAGGGAGAGTGTTCCAGAGTTGTATTGAGCATATATTGACAAAAAATCATTCAGAATGCTCCCCCAATTCATTCAATACAAAGAAGTAGACAAATATATAATATATGTAACATGGTTTAAATGCATTTCAATAATGAACTTGTTCAAAATTAAAACAAAAAAAAATTACATTCAATTGATCCAAATATCAGGAAGTATACATTGAGATAGGTAGACCTTTAGATTATTTTTATTTGACTACCTAATCACATACTTTCTGCAGATTAGAGTCCTCTGAAGTTAGAGGGCTGAAAAGGCTGATTTCTAGGCCAGCGTTTTGATTCTTTATATATGTAAGTTTTGTTGTGTGAAGACTCACCATTGCACCCAAACCCAGTGTCGCTTAACTGGATCACATTTTTGAATGTGAGTGGCCTTTTATATAAAAATACCCCCATTGTAGATGAAGGATGACCTGAAATGTCAACCTACCTTTCTCTGCTAGGTGTTGATTGACCTGTGCATTTCCAGGATTTTCTGCCTTTATTTAATATAACAAGACTTTGTCTGTCTTTATTATATTTGAATGTTATTGATTCTGGAGAAAAGCAAAACTTGATAAAATTCCAAAGTACCAAACAACTACTTAATTAATTGACTTCTACAGACCTATTGATCCAATGAAACATTTTAAACCATAGTATTCTAAGCCAAGTATATATTTTCCCTAATTATTTTAGCTATGTCCATTGAATAATATGAATACACCCGCATCAATAGTTTACTGAGACACCAGCAAATTTAAATGTACTTTAAAAAAATATTTTCTGTAGTTGTGTTCTGATTGAATTGGTTAAAGAGCGATTAGTGTATTTTGATACAGGAAATTTTAATTTCATTACTTTTATCGGGTTCACAGAAATATATATATATATTTTTGCCTCCTGCACCACATATTTAACTGTCTGCCTAACCAACCATATTGCACGTCAAAAAAACAAGACTTCGAGCAGCAGGGATTTTCTTAGCTTTTACACTGGCTCTGAATTGAGGTTGGGAAGGAGTTATCAAGTCATTCAACTCAAAAGGTCAAAAAAGGATGATTTTGAAAAGCATTTGGAGCTGGTTTGATATTATTGTAAGAACACAGTAGAAGTGTTCCCACAAGTGGA